TCTCTTCATAACTTATTGGCCAGAAATAGTCACATGGTCATAGATAGCTAACTCCAAGAAAGTCTGCAATCCTCCCATATGCCCAAAAGATGGAGAGCTGGCATAGTTGATAAACAGCATTAATGAGTGCCTCAGATAGGTGCCATTATTATCCTTATTTTATAAATGAGAAAACTAAGGCTCAGAGAGGTTAAAAGCTTGAAGGTGGACCACAAAAAAATACACTAGGAAAGAATAAAAATTTGAATACTTCCAACTATCCCCCTTACCCATGACAGATCAGGGAGAAGGGTGGGGAGGAGTGTAGAGTTGAGTAAAAACAGTGGGTGTAGGACTGGGTTTGGACTGGATTTCAGTCTTAATTCTGCAGCTTACTAGCTCTTTAGATAATTTAATGAGCTTCAGTTTCCTCTTCCATATTATTCCATGGGAATAATAATTTCTACCTCATAGGGCTGTTGTGAATTAATTGTGTATGTAATATGCCTAGTAGGGATATTGTTGGGATATGTAATATGCATAGTAGGAATATTGTCAGTAGCATTTATTAATTAAAAATTCACTCTTACTTCATTGACCACTTTGCAAAGAAGTTTCAGAGGCTCTGAAGAAACATTTTGGCCACACATAGAAGACCTTGATATCTTTGTAAAATGTTAATGTTGCCTGAGGGTATGTAATTCTTAGGTACCTGAATGACTCACATTCTTTAATAACCATTTCACTAAAGAGAATGAGACAGCTAGCATTAGTGCCAAAAGGAAAGCCACAGGATTCTAATCTCAATTGCAGGATCGTACTGTCTGACAAAGCCTGCAAAAGAGAGTAAGATAGAAAGGACAGAACCCCTCTTCCTTCCCCAGCTGGAGGGAAAAATATTTAATTGGGGAGGGAATCACACATACAGGTGAAAGAACAAAAGAATAGAGGAATCAATAGATGTGGAAATTAATTTAGCTTGGTTTGTCATTACTGCTAAAAAAAAATGAGAACTTATTATTCATAATCATCAAAAGCATCATTATGCAGTTGCCTGCACCCTCTTTTGTCAGGTGTTTGAAAAACTCTTTCTAAAAATTTGAGGAAGGAGAACAGTTTTGGTCAGCGCTGTGTTTTATTTCCAATTTGTCAGGATTGTTAAGAAGTAGAATGTGTTGTCCTGTTCCTATGTATGTACTTTCTCATGCAGCTTTTTGTTAAAACACAGGAAAGGACAATGCTTTATTGAAAACTGTACAAATAGAATGAGTTTAAATCGACTTTGCCTTAGAGATGTTTACGACACAGTTGGTATATTTCACTCAATTCCAGATTCTTTCCCTATTCCTTTGTTTATTTACTTAGTCTAGCGACTTTTATTTTTCTTTCCATTTAGGAGGAAAAAATTGTTTTGCAATCCCAATTATAAGGATATAGTTTTCATATTTGATGTTTAACACAAGAAATATGGTGCTAGAAATACATGAATGTTAGTTAATAATAAACATGATCACACTGTGCATTATATCAGCACTTTTCCTTTTTAGCCCTTAGCTGTTCTCCCTTTGATTTTTTTTTTTAATTTACAGTTACTTGCTTTCCACATTAGAGAGGTTAGCCTAAAGAGTAGAAATCATACTAATCCCATAAAGTCTAAAATTAAGATGCAATGCAGTGGTATTAATAAGATTAATGGTAGTTTACAATTAAGGAGTGCCAAGACTAATGTTTTAAGCTTTGTGGGCATTATCGATTTTCTCTCTCTCTCTCTCTCTCTCACACACACACACACACTCACACACTCACTCACCGACTCACTCACAGACCCCATACCTATAAAATAAAATTTCACTGATGAGGAAGTGAGTCTTAGAGAGCTGAGGTAACTTGCCTAAGATTGAAAACAGTGGATGCAGGAGTGTGGTCTTTCAGTGGCCTTTACATTGTAGTTCACAGAGAATCACGGGAGGACTGTGGTCCTGCTGGAAGGGAGGGACGTTGTCTTATTCATCTCCACACCCAGCTCCTAGTGCAGATAAGAATGGAACAAGGAGTGACGTAAGTCATGCTGTATTTTAGGAAGATAAATCTGGTAGTGGTGAGTGGGATGAAGAGAACAGGAAAAGACCAGCAGCATGAAGAGCAGTTTGAGGCTGTTGCAAAAATACAGAGAACAAGGTAATGAGATGGTGAACAAGGGAGCACAATGAGAAAAGAAAAGAAGCAATGAATGGCAGACTCGGGAAGAGTGAGTGTGAGGGACTTGACCATGTGGAGGCAGGGAAGAGTGCCACGCCCTTGGACAAACAAATATCCATTCACCAACAAATGTTTCTTGAATATCAACTGAGTGCCAGGAACTGTCCTAAATGCTGGAGATGTAACCATGAATCAAGCTAATAGGGATTTTGCTCCCATAGAGCTTATGCTCTAATTGCAGGATGTATAAGTCAGGATTCTCCAGAGGAACAGAACTAGTAGGAGGTATGTAGAAATGCAGATACAGGGCCGGCCCCGTGGCTCACTCGGGAGAGTGCGGTGCTATTAGCTCTGAGGCCACGGGTTCGGATCCTATATAGGGATGGCCAGTACGCTCACTGGCTGAGTGTGGTGCAGACGACACCAAGCCGAGGGTTGCAATCCCCTTACTGGCCGAAAATAAATAAATAAAAATAAAAATAGAAATACAGAAACAGATTTCTTGAGGAATTGGCTGGCATGACTGTAGGCTGGTAAATCCGAAGTCTGCAGGGCAGGCCTACAGGCTGAAAACTCTTGGGCAGGAGCTGATGCTGTAGTCTTGAGGCAGAATTTCTTCTCAGGGAAACCTATTGTGCTCTTAAGGCCTTTCAATTGATTGGATAGGGCTTACCCAGATTATTGAGAATAATCTCTTTTATTAAAAGTCAACTAAGTGAAGATATTAACCACGTCTACAAAATACCTTCGCAGTAACACCTTGATTGAATAACTGGGTACTATAGCCTTGCCAAGTTGACACACAAAAATTAACCACCTCAGAGGAGACGCAGAAGTGACCAGTGCATAGAGAGAAATAACCTAGGGTGTTAGAGAATAACTTCATACTTCTGTGGATTGGAGACTCGGGAGAAGGATTCTCTGCTTGAGTTGGTATATCTCCATATTACTGATGAGACAACTGAGACTTAGGGATATTAAACAACTTGTTTAAGTTTTAAAACAGCTAATGATCAGCCCTGCTGTCATTCTGACTCCAGTACATGGGCAGAAAACACAAAAGAGACCTGCTTCCCAGGAATGGTCAAAGGTACCAGAATGTTTGACATTTTCCCAGGAGAAACATCAGTTGGTGAGCAAGTTCGAATTAAGAACTTGTTTCCTGCATGTAGAACCTGAACAGAGGGCAGTCAATATTGCTTATTGGGGATTGCAAGGAGTGGCTTCATCCAACTTGGGTACCAGACACCCCCTCCCTCACTCTGCCACACTGGGAATGGCCTCTGCCCAGTGCCCAGCTCAGGACTCTTGCCATTCATTCCGCTGGAATACCTTTCTTCTTCCCACTTCCCCTTCGTGTGAACAATGTCTGTGGAGCACTCAGGACTCAGCTTTGTTACTTCACCAAGGAAACCTTCCCTGAGCACCTGAACTGGGATAAGTCTCCCGGTAATAAGCCCCTCCCCCAAACTCCCTGTTCTTTTACTATGGTACTTATCACTATTGTCACTAAGTAGTTCATGTTTTATTAATGTTTGCCTCTCCTGCTCTAGTCCCTAAGGGAAGGAGCCAAGTCACTATCATATTGAGCACCGTTCTTGGCAGGTACCACTTGCTGAATGAATGCATGGATAAAGAAATGAATGAATGAGATATACACCTGCCAAGCAGTAAATCTGCAGGGCATCTAAACAATAATCTGGTAACCCAGTAACATGTACTGTTTGCTACTATCCTGGGCACTTGAGTTCTTGATTTCAGTTTAAAAGGTGGCACTTCCTGAATTCTTCTCCAATTTGGAGGTACTTTTTTAAGCATTTTAGCCCAAAGCTGTCTAGCACAAAGCAGCTGAGTTTTTCAGAATTGTTAGAACAAAAGAACCTGATAATGAGAGAACAGAGTGGAAGTATTTGAGGATAGCTCCCCACCAAGGAGGGGAGAGAGTCAGGAGTGGATGGAGTGTCCTGAGGGAGCCCTGTACTTAGAACAAACCATTCTCTCTCTTCTTGCCCCAGGCAGGAAATTCTGCTATTTTGCCTGTGATCTGGAGTCTTGTGAGTAAGAAGAAAGCTTCTGACTCAAGCAGCTCCTGATATCTCTGAGTGTGCTCTTATGAGCCACGCCGAGAGAAAGTTCAGTGAGGAAGCCCTCCTGCACCTCCTATGCCCACTTCTGCTGCCACTCAGACCCGGCTCCTAACACCTGTCACTAAGAATGGCTATTGGTTGAGTGTATCAACCGTACAAACAGGAACAGTTCCCCCGGTGAAACCAAGGAGGCTTTCACTCTGTTCTGATTTGACAACCAGCAGCCATAATAACTTAAAATGTCATCTGTGTTATTAAATGTTTGCTTGAGCTCTTATGCCCTTTCATGTTAGACCCCAAATGTTAATGGAAATCAGCCTTTACTTTGCAATTGTCTTCTGACCGTGAGAAAAGAAAGTTTGGGTTTCTTAAAATGTAGCATCCATCAAGTCATCCTGTAAGGTCTATACAAGTTTGCCCACTCACCTTCTTCTCATTAAACATTCTTCCTACTGAGAAAGAGAAACATCTCTTCATTTCTACGTTCTCTACATTTTCTGACATTTGGAAGACTCAGTTGCAAATCATATAGGATACTCCTGGATCCAGACAAATTGTGACTATGTCAGCATAGGGTATAACCAGAAACACTTTGGCCCAGGAGTTAGGCAAAGAAGGTTCAAGTCTTGGCCCTGCCACTGAGCAGTTGAGTGACCTTGGAGAAGTCGCTGGGCTATAGTGGACTAGGTGTCTCAGCAGTTACCACCGCTCTAAGATGTATGGTTCTCATTGCAGGCATCTTTTCCACAAGTCCTGTGTTGACCCCTGGCTTCTAGACCATCGCACCTGCCCCATGTGCAAGATGAACATTCTTAAAGCCCTAGGGATCCCGGTAAGCACAGCACAGCCTACAGCATCATAATGTCTGTCTTTCTGCATTACCCCAAAGCAGGGAGAATGCATCATGCCTGGATTTTCTGTCCCCTCAATCATATAGCAGTCACATTATTTTATGAGGCCCCAAGAGAACTCCCACATCTGAAAACATTTCTCCTCTCGCTTTTTCTCAGTCTGAGAGCATCATGACACTTTCATGTCCATTGTACTTGTGTGTGAGTCAGGATGTACCTATGCACCTCATGGGCTTGTCTTCTGGGCTGCAGCATGTAAGGGCAGGTGGAACACCAGCAGAGGCACCATGGGCCAGTAGCACAATGACTGCCTCTTGTGTCATCACCCCTGCTTATCAGTCGTCAAGGAGAGCTGCGTGCCACCTTTTCTGGTGCTGCTGCACAATCAAGTAGCTTTCAGAGGGAGCAAACTCCTCCCTGCAATGGGATGGGAAGACAGCAGCTAAGGATCAGGCCCAGAGCCCCTGCTAAACTCAGATCCGTGTAGAGACCTTGAGTAAACAGGAAACCAGAGCCAGAGCCACTTAATCCTAGCACTGCCACCAAGCCAGTTCCCCAAGTTACATGTTTTCTAAAATTTAGTCTCTCCCCCAGTGCAAAGAGAATCCCGCCAGCTGACTTGACTTCCAAGGAAGGACTTTGCCAGGACCATATCACGTGAAGCCCACATACTGGTAGTTGGTGAGACACCAGCTGCTGTGTGTTATCCCCTCTAAACTGATGAAGACAGAAAGCAAGCCAGGCCACCAAACCTGAGGACTGCACAGAGAGATGTGAGGAAAACATAAGGTGCTGTCTAGAGGAAGCCAGACAGACAGAACACAGATACCAGCCTCCCCTCATGTCCCTGCACTTTGCTGCAACCTCCCTATTGTCACTCCTCACCACTAATGGCAGAGAATAAAGAGAATGCTAATAGTCCTGAGATGTCACTAAAGAAGGGAGGATCAGATCGCATATCAAAGGCTTTCTTTAATGCCACACGGCTAATTATCTTAGGAATATCTGAGTGACTCTGTTGGAGAAGACACATCTGAAGCATTATGAGGACATTCATTGGCTGAATTTTCTGCCCTGTGCCAGCTGCCTCCATGCCAGCTGCATGCTGATGTGCACAGTTGATATACCAAACACAAATCAATTTATGTGACTATAGCTTTGAGCTAGATTTTAAAGACAGTCCATTAAATTTTCAGACCAGAGTTGTAAATGCATAATACATTCAAGGTGAAAATCAATTACAGTGAACATGAAACATTAGAAAAAACCCAATATCTCTACCAGATGCTGGTGACTTAAAAATTGCACTTTTCACATTTCTGCCTGTAATGTATGTATATGTGTGTGCTTGCGTGTGTGTGTGTGTGTGTGTGTGTCTTTGATCTCCAGAATTTTCAGAATCCTCACAGTTAAAGGGAGACAGTTGCATCATTTGACCTAGTTACTATAGCTCAGGATATTTTCAAAGATCCTAAGTGTCAATCCCACCATTCTCTGGTCTGGACAATGAAACCAAACAACCCCCTGTAGCTAAATTTTGCACTTAACTAACATTTGATTCCAGACTTTTCCATGGAGGTATAACTTCTCCAGAAGCTACTTGTAAATGAGTTGCAAATATAGCTATTAATAGTTTTTAAAATAGAATTATTGGAGTCTTTTGACTTATTTCCAAAATTACTAACATCTTAACACGCAGCAGTTGGGCATTCTGGCCATGGTTTGATGCCTAACAAGTCTGGATAGGATTTTACTTAGCCCACTTGACTCCCAGAAAAATAAGCATCGGTAGCATCTTTTGGATTTTGCCAAGGATTTTTAAAGGCCAGATGAACAAGAACATGACACACATCCAAGCTGGCCCCACAGAACAGAACATCCTCCATGGAGAATAAGGCACACATAGTGTGCTACATCTGGCGATGCACCAAGGCGTATGGCCGCCCTCCATGCCTCCTTAGGCTTTTCTGTTTTTGTCCTAGAGAATGATGAAGTCAGGATGGAGGAATTTTCAATGTTGTTCCGTTCCATCCATCTGCCATTGGGTAGCACTGTGCCTAACATATACCAACTCTACTCCGTTCTTAAAACTTTCCATCTCATTGGACAAGCTCACAGCCTTCTCAATTAGAAAACACTTCCTATATCTAACTGAAATCCTTTTTAGGCAGCCCAAAGAAACTGTCTCACAGTTTCCCTGTACGCCTTATACTCCCTTTCTTCTTATTCAAGGAAAATTGAGAAGGGCCTGTCACTCTGATAATTGATATGTTGGTCCTTCATCTCTGTATCCCTTACATATGCTAAGTGCTCATGAATATTTGTGAAACTATAGCCTTCCAGCATCATGAAGGCTGCTGGTCCCAAAATCATGTATATGAATTTCACCCTGAGTCTCCTTTGAACAGTGTCAACTCACAAATGACTTGGTTGTAATCCTGATCCACTAGATTGTTCAAATGCAGGTGGTATATAATTTGTGTTTGGGTTTTTGGTTGGTTTTGTTTTTAATGGAGTGTCCTCGTGTCTGCCTGTGCTGAAAGGCAAACGAATATAAGTTGAAAGCTGAGACTTAGGGACATTTTATTTTGTAAGTGATTCCTCTACAGTGAGCTCAAGAATGGGAGCACAGCTCATGTATAATGAAATTCCTGTAACAATGGGTATCTTTTTCCATTATATGTTGCTGAGAGATATATAATATTGAATTGAAAAGGGGAAAAATCCTTTGTTGTCGGAAGTGTTTTTATGCTTTCCTCTACATTACAGGGCTTCCCCCTCCATTCTACCCAGTCAGTTCTAAATCAGTGTTCATAGGAAGACAGAACACACTTGCAGTGAATCTTCCTCGAAGGTCTCATATAACCTGGGTCTTTCATATGCCAGCAGACACCTCCTCCTATCACTGTTATCCTGATATGAATAGGATGGTGATTATTATCAAACAGAAAATCCTCTGTAGCTGATGTAGTCACAAGTCTCTAACTATATAGCAGTTGATTTGAGGAGTTTCCCCCGCTAACCTGAATTTAAATAGCTATGCAGTGTTCACTTGTATTTGACATCTTTTTTTTTAAACATTAAGATTGTGACTTCTCTTAGAGGTATATAAATTTGGTTTCTTTTCCAAATATTCTACTTGACAAACCATATAGAGTGGATATAAACTGTGATATTCTGTAAGATGGGTCTGTTGGATATTATATTCAAGCCAAAGTATTTGTACCTGCTACCATTTGATGGTCTTACTGAGCTAGTTATCTCTTCCTCCTTCCTCTTCTGTTAAAGATATAGCACTGTTCCTACTGGCTCACAAACGAAGAGCAAAGAAACACATTGCACCAAAATTAAGCAAATACATAAAATGAAAGAACATTTTATTTTATGTCAACAATCAGGATCAACATTTTGAAAAATATGCCATTTGTTATTGCATATGATTGCATTCAGTTGTTTATGGCTGAAAGAAAAACCTGTGCAGTGTCCTCCTCATGAAATCTCATCCTCCCTGATCCTCCACACACTGTTGGTTTTGCTTAATAAACATGTTTACTAGCATATCTTACCTTTGCACAGAGCTTTACAGTTTTTAAAGTATTTTCTCAAATCCTCCCTTAATTGGTCCAGGGCAGATGCTAGTTTTCAGAGCAGAGATCTGAGACTCAGGTAAAATTTTCAAAACAACATTTACCGAGTACCCAATAATTGTCAGCGGCACTATGTGGAGACTTGGAATTCACGATCAATAAAACATGGTGCTTCACTTTACAAAGCTTGTGGACTAGTGAAATGAGATAAACATATGAACAAATGACCATGGCAAAGAGGGAGAAGTGTCATATAAAGTGCTACAGGACAAAGATGACTACCTGGGAGGGAACACTCCTTAGAAAAAGTAGCATTTGGCCTGGGAACTAAAGAGTAATTAGGAATTCACCAGGAGTCAGTTTGAGACCTTGGAATGGCAAAAGGAGGGTGACTGGGGCAAACGTCACCCTGAGGAGAAGGGCAGTATAAGCTAATGCACTGACTTGAGGGAATGTGTTTCCAAAGGCTGAAGTCTGCACAGTAGTCTGCAGCCAGGCTGCAGCGCAGCTGTTACGTCATGCTGAGGAGCTTGTAATTCCTTCCTTGGGAAAAGAGAGGAAGCATATCTGTGTGGGTTTGGGGGGAATGTTTTGTTTTGTTTCTGAAGAACACTCTGGTGAGAGTGAAGAATGTAAACTAGAGAAAAGACTGTAAGGAGATAGAGAGATGTGATGGAGAGAGAATGTTCATGAACATATCTGCTCATGTCCAGTATCACATTAGCGAATTTAGTAAATTTGGTGAACTGGTCATTCCATGAATTGACTTTTGACAAATTGAGTTTCAATGAATTGGCTTACTTCCAATACAGATAGAGAAGGCAAAAGGAAGATAGAATACAGAAAAGAGAGGAATTAGATGAATTTGAGGGATTGGTAGATGATGGAAGTTTCCAGCTGACTGTTGGAAACCCGGGCATGGTGCTGAGGACACTGGTGTTACACAGCAGAGCAGGAGGACAAGAGGTCAGCACTTTGGATTTCTTTCTTTGTGCTCCCTTGAGTCCGAGAGTTGTAGGTTTTCTCTTTTAATGAACTTTGAATACTAAGTAGTCATTGCTATGCTAATTCAATCAGTGTCAACACAGAATTCTCCTCATCTAATCCTGACCATCATGTTCTACATACATTGGGAGTGTGAAATCATGTAATTATCATCCCTCCAAGACAAAATTGAAGTTCAGACCAGAGCAAAAAAAGAAATTAACAGCTGTTCTTAATATTCCCTAAGACCATATCCTTCCATCACACCATTTTACAATAATTTTTGTGAGTTCAGATAGAGAGACAAGAAAGTTAAAAAAAAAAAAAAGCTGTTCGTGGAAGAGATATAAATATATTCAGTATTTCCTCAAACAGCAGCATTAAGACCAAAGAGTAAAACTTGTAAAGAGTAAGATTTTGCCCAATAGCTGAGGAGACCGACAACTCTGGCTAACACAGACCACCGTGCAGGGAGCTCCCATTGCTGCGTTGCTCAAGGGAGCTGTCAGTGATACTGGTGAGAAAAAAAAACGTCCTGTAATGAATGGGCAATTGAACAAGATGGTCTCACCTAGTTTTATGATTCTAACATTTTTAATTTAATGGATTTGACTAATGTATGATCAATTCCAGTTAAGTACATAGGGATATTTTTCTATAGCTGGGTTTTTGGCTTATGTTTTTTAAAACGTAGCCTCTCCCTGTGCTTTTGTGTGTGTTTGTGTGTATGTATACTATCTTTAATGAACAATCACAATGAGTCAGATTCTATCCCCATTCCCATATTTGTAAACAGTGCAAGTGTTTGGAGGTAACTATCAGGCTGCCAGCTACGTCCTATATGGGGAGTAAACACTATATGTAAGGAAGTGCTATCATTATAAATAAATATGGTGTATTTCCCCTAAGTAATTATCTAAATGTAGAGATATTGCAACTCCTGGAATTAAGACTTTATACCCAGATCTAAAAGGAATCTTTTGAAAGGAAACTTTAGAAAATCTTTTCATGTGAATGTTACAAAAACTGTCTGTGGAATGTTCTTAAATAAAGTGTCTCAAGAAGAAAACAGTGAAGAACTTAAATTTCCATTGAGACAAAATATGTAGGCTGTAGCCATTTCATCTCTAAGTTGATAATGTGCACTGAGAATATCTTTTTCTACTCCTGTCAGCCCAATGCCGACTGCATGGACGACTTGCCCACCGACTTCGAGGGCTCTCTGGGAGGTCCACCGACCAACCAGATCACAGGTGCAAGCGACACAACAGTAAATGAAAGTTCAGTCGCCTTGGACCCTACCATCCGGACTGTGGGAGTCCTGCAGGTGGTCCAGGATGCAGACCCCACCCCCCAGGAGAGAGAAGTCATCTTTACTACTAACGGTAAGTTTGCTTAAAAGTGCCATAGCCAAAAGCGCTGTTGCCTTGTGCGAATTGGAAAGACATACCTTCTTCCAGAACAAGGATATATTGAGTGAGTGTATTATTGCCAGGCTCGATAGTCATACCTAATGGACCCTTAGAAGCCTAGATGTTTCCAGAGCCATCAGGGCAGACAATGGACCTGGCTCTGTATGCCACACCCTGACCCCAGGGCACACATACCACAGCACTGCACACTTTCCATATCCTGAGGCAGGAAGGGTGGTGGGTCTGGTCCCTGCAAGTGGAGGGCAGGGGAGAGAAGCAACCACAAGAGATGCTCAGGAGGACTGGGATAGGGCACAGCTCCACCTGCTGTGTGTGTGTGTGTGTGTGTGTGTGTATTTGTATGCTTCAGCCTTTCTGAGTATGTGTGCAGCTGTATGAGCTAGTCAATAATGTCCAGGAGGCTGCTTTCCCCATTACTGTAGGACTCCGATATAAAGCTCACCCGTTAGATGAGCATTTCTGCAGCACAACATAAACCCCTGTTCACAGTGTCCCTGCATATTAATATATCTTCTGGGTATTCTTACCTTCATCTCCTGCATAGACAGCCACTAAATCCTGTTCTGTTTGATGGTAGTTATCATAAATTTTTTAAAAAATATCTATTAGCATCAATATAGAAGCTCGAATCTAAAGTACCTACTATTCAGTCTAATATAGTAGAGATCAAAGTTTCAGGAGTTCTAAGAAAATCAGCATGCAAATTAACTCAGGTTTAAGGTTAAAAGAGTGAGTGGATACTACAATTTTTAAACAAGTATATTTCTTTCTCTTGATAGAATTAACCTATTCAGTATAGAACATTTGGAAATACAAAAAAGCAGATTGAAGTATTTGGGAATATTTCCTTTTAAATCAGCCTTTTTTTTTTTTTAAACAGACAAGAGGTCTTCAAAAAGTTCATGGAAAGATTTGTATTATCTTTTAATTCCATTTTTTCAAAAACATTTTGAAGTAGCTGCATATTGGTGATTTTTACAGAATTTATAAAATTTTGCTGATGAAGACACAAGTCTTCATTGTTGAAAGACTGAAAGAAAAAGAAAAGGATAAAAAAAGAATGAAAAACTCACTCAAGGCACCACTACCTAGAAATAATCACCCCTAACATTTTGGCCTGTCTCCTGATCATCTTTTATGATATAGTTGAGGTGATCCCATAGGTTTTGAATGCTAAGTATTGTAACCGTGGCATTTTCACAGGGCCTCAACAGAAAGTAACGTGAAGAGGAGCTTCTTGAGAAATAGCTGCCCATGCAAAGCTTATTAGTTTGTGGTAAATGAGAGTTTTAAGTTTGAGAACTTGACTTTTAGAGGTATAATGATCTCAGTATTGAACCATTGACCATTAGACATTTTAAAACCCTTAAAGATAGATTCTGGTTCCTTCGTTTTAAAGGTCTAAACTGGTATTATCCAAAATTAATATAATACGGATCCTGGGTCAAGATGGCGGAATAGTCGGTTCCTGGTGTTGCTCTCTCCCACAGAGCAACCAATTTGCAGCTTTTGAGGAGCAGGGACAGAGGACCCGAAATCTGTGCTGGAATGGACTGGAGCCGCCTGCCATGGGACCCCAGTTCAGGTTGCTCCTCATTTCGTAAAAAGACTTTAGAGCTTTTGGGCCCACACGCCCCAAGCCTGCCAGCCAGAGAAGAGCCAGGCTCTCCCGTCTCCATGAGCGAACTGAGAGGCACGGGTTCCCAAGCCCTGAGCCAGACGAGCTGGTGAAGGCTGACGGGGTGGGAATTTCAACCCAGGCTGTCCCATCTCCATGAGTGACCTGAGAGGTTCTGGGTTCCCAAGCCCCAAGCCAGACAAGCTGGTGAACACAGGTGGGGTGGGACTTCCTGCTCAAGCCATCCGTCGCCGTGAGTGACCTGGGAGGCACAGGCTAACATGCCCCAAGCCTGACAAACCAGTGAAGGCAGGTGGGGCGGGACTTCCGGCCCAGGCCGTCTGTCTCCATGAGCGACTTGAGGGTCTTTGGACTCCCAGATCACCCAACCAGCTGGTGTAAGCAGGTGGGGTGTGATTTCCAGTCCAGGCTAGTTTCTGCTGTCCAGGAGCAGCAGACCTTTCAGGATCCAAGCCAGACATCAGGGTGAAACGAGTGAACACGGATAGCCCCGGCCACAATGACAAAACACCAAAGGAAAGAAGCCAGAGATATGAAAAATCAAGAAAGTACATCACCACCAAAGGAAATTAATAACAAACAAGTGCTAGATCCTGT